ATTGATGGCAACCAAAGAGATGCCATCAATACTATCGATGAGACCCTTTGGACTAAACGGTCCTTTCATATGAAGTATACGTTTTTGGGGAACAGCTTTGTATCCATTTTTGTCGCGATAGGTCTCATACATCTTCTGATTGGCAGCAAATAGTGAGGCATTCCTGTCGCCCATGTGTTCCGAAACCGTATCAAAGAGTGCCTTTCCTATGCCTAACCCTTGGTATTCATGTCGGACCGCGTACTGGCCCACAAACGACAGGTTAGGAGAGAGGTTAACACCACTACAGGCGCCTAATATTTGACCTTTAATTCAAAGAACATTATTATTAATATGATATCAAAGGACAGAATATTCTGTACCGGAATCGGTGTCCTGAGCCACAAATATGCCGTTTGGATCCGTTTGGAGCATCACTTCATTGCCAAACCTGAAGATCTGAAACCCGACTGAATTCCAGATCTGTCGGACTTCCTCGCAGTCAGACAATTGGGTTTTGCGGATAATATATGACGGCTTCCGCTGATTACCACTCATTTCCTTAGCAATAGTTTGGCTCAACTTCTCCGCAAAACTATTGGCAATAACTTTATTATAAGTTTTATAAACTTTTATACAAATAACATTGAACTTCTACTTTAATTAAATGCACAGGGCATTATGCACTTACAACTTATAAATTACTGTTAATGTTTAATACTGTATAAGGCATACATTGACTGTATCTAAGGTATATTGTGATTAAATGAACTTACTATTATGTAAAAATGGATGATTAAATTGAAATTATATTATATGTAACTAGTATTACAGAAAATGAATATTAAATTGACTAATACTTGATAAATATTGAAATAATAAATCATAGATCTTACAACATATAAACAAAATTGTGTACTTATTTAGTACTCGTTTATCTCATATTATAAAAGATGTTCAAACTTTGAACTTCAAAGCGATCGGATGAACTGGGGCAAATAGCAAGGCTTTATCAAGTGATTTTACAGTATTAATAAACATACACTCAATTAGTGACCCTCGTTACTGTACAGGTATTGTCATATTAGTAGATTTTACCATTTAATTAGTGTAATTCAAAAATTAAATGTTCATATTAATAGCAACTTGAATAAACTAAATACATAAATTCAATTTAAAATTACAGTTTGATTTAAAAGTTGATTTAAATTTAGAATATTGTAAATACAAAATAGATGTACAGTATATCAATGCCCTCTATAATTACTGTAAACAAGTATAATTTAATTTAATTTTAAATTCACATTTACTTCAGCTATATACTGGTACAATATATTTGATACTGTATTTCTAATTGATAAAGTCATCATTAAACCACAATGTAAACTAGTCTACCACCTCATATATCTGACAATAAACACTAGACTCTAGTGTCATACTTTATTAGAAATGATTAGACAGAATCATAAATAATTACAAATAAAATACAACTTTTTATTTAAAACTTTGTTTGTACTGAAAATTTAAATTATCAAAATTCACAAAAAGCAATCAACAGAATAGCATTCAAAATGGATAATAACAAGTGGTGGTGACCGCATATATCTTATCCATATCTCCCTCCACTATCTTCTTCGTGAAAGCGGTTCTCTGTTCTCTCACTTCTTTGAGACCCAATTTCTGTGCCATTTGTATGCCTTTAGAGTTGCAATTCCAACACT